TTTGGTTTGGTTTGGTTTGGTTTGGTTTGGTTTGGTTTGGTTTGGTTTGGTTTGGTTTGGTTTGGTTTGGTTTGGTTTGGTTTGGTTTGGTTTGGTTTGGTTTGGTTTGGTTTGGTTTGGTTTGGTTTGGTTTGGTTTGGTTTGGTTTGGTTTGGTTTGGTTTGGTTTGGTTTTTCGAGACTGGGTTTCTCTGTAGCTATGGAGCCTATCCTGGCACTTGCTCTAGAGACCAGGCTGGCCTCGAACTCACAGAGATCCGCCTGCCTCTGCCTCACGAGTGCTGGGATTAAAGGCGTGTGCCACCACCACTCGGCCTATCAGCACCACTTTTGACATCCTCAAGTTTTGGTGTCTGAGTTGGAGTCTCATGGATACCAAGGACAACTATACAATATAATCAGGACTTGCTAAGAATTTCCTAACTACTTGCAGTACAGTAGCAGACAGTATAACAGTGGAGGCTCCCTTCCATATATCAATACAAAACCCAGTGTAGTGTAGTTTATCATATGATCACAGGATTGTGGAGAATAAAGTGAATTAAAGGGTACAGGGACCAAAGTGAGAGAGAAGGGTAAGGCCTCCCTGCAGATGTCCTGTGACTTGAGTGATGTAAGGAACAAGCCATATGGATGTTTGAGAAAACAGAGGTTGAAAGGAAACCATGAGTATAATGTTAAGCTTTCTTTTTCTTTCTTTCTTAAGATTAGAGCATTTCTGACATGTTCAGAGAACAGTAAGAAGATCATTGTTGGTAGAATAGAGAAAATAGGGTTAGAAGTTATGAGAGATAAAACCAGAGAGTTTAGCCAGGTAGTGGTGCATGCCTTTAATCCCAGCACTTGAGAGGCAGAGGCAGATGGATCTCTGTGAGTTCAAGGCCAGCCTGGTCTACAGAGTGAGTTCCAGGGCAGGCTCCAAAGCTACAGAGAAACCTTGTCTCGAAAAATCAACAAAGAAAGACCAGAGAGTTTAGATGAGGCTCTTAACTTACTGGGCCATTTTAAACATTTCTGTTAGGACTATATCTTACTGGGGATTCATAGAGGTAGTAGTAGATAGCTAATCAATCAGTAAAGTTCCTGTAGTTTATTTAGAGAAACAGAAAGGACTATCCTAAATGGAAAGTACCAAATGTAGTTCAGTCTTAAACACTTTTGTTGTTTTTTGAGACAAGGTCTCTATGTGGCTGTCCTGGCTGTCTGGAACTATGTAGTCCAGGCTGTAACTACTGTGGTCTGGCTATATAGACCAGGTCGGGTGTACCTACCTTCCCCCCAAGGTGTGGGCCACCGTGTCTGGTAGTGATAGATAATGTCTCTGAACCTCTTCATTTACTGTTGGATATGTATTTTATCAGTGTTAAGTATACTATTTTTATGGTTAAAAGGACTTCTTCGTCAGAAGTCCAGAAAGCCTATTTAATCTAGGTCTTTATCTTTTAGACAGTGACTGATGTTTTTAAACTTAACTATAGAAAGAAAACTTGAAGAGAAGTGGAAGGTTTGTTATGCTGAAGGATAGTATACTTTGTTTCAGATTTTTTTGTTTTTGTTTTTCTTTTGTTTTGTTTTGTTTTTGTTGTTTTGTTTTGTTTTTTGAGACAGGGTTTTTCCCTGTGTAGTTTTGGAGGCTGTACTGGAACTAGCTTTTGTAGACCAGGCTGGTCTGGAACTCACAGAGATCCATCTATCTCTGCTTCCCGAGTGCTGGGACTAAAGGCGTGCACCACCACCACCCAGCCTGTTTCAGATATTTTTAATCAATTTAGATTTTTGTTTTAAATCTGTAGTCAAAGTATATTACTTTTCTTGGCTGAGTTTTATTTTTTCTTTCATGGTGTTGTTTTTTTGTCTACATTGTGGATCCAAATTACACATCTTATTCTCATAAGGGTATAGGAAATAGTACAATGTGTCCTTGTAATATTAGGTTCATCTTGCAGTGAGAAAATGATTTGGTGTCTGTGGGATTTTTTTGTTTTGTTCTGTTGTTTGTTCCACCACCACCACCACCCGGTTTCCCTGTATAGCCCTGGCTGTCTGGAACTAGCTGCATAGACCAAAC